ATGTATAGAAATAAACGAAATTACACGTCATAATTTCATTCAACATTAATAAATAATATTAACTACAAATCTTAACGATCGCCTTTCCAAAATTTTTACCGGTCAACACATTTAGAAGTCCTTCCGGAGCATTTTGAATTCCTTCAATTATATATTCCTTATAGATTAATTTACCCTGCTTAAACCACTCACCCATTTCTTTCAAAAAAGAATTCATTTCATCGTAATGATCAATTACAATAAATCCTTGAAATAAAATGCGCTTTGGAATAATGCACATTAGGTTTTTAACACCATAAGGAGTTTTAGTATTATATTGAGAGATCATTCCACAAGCTACTATGCGGGCGTAGATGTTTAAATGAGTGAGAACTATATCTAGAATTTCACCACTATTTAAAATTTATTAGTATCAGGTAAAGTCAAATTCATGAATAATCATGATCACGGAGGAAATTTAAACATACCCAACATTATCAAAATAAATATCAATCCCATTTGGACATAACTCTGATAATTTCTATTGATAAAATTGCTATAAGCATTATATATTCTGTACGAATATATTATTAAAACCTTAACAGATTGCCAATTACCTTATCAACATCACAAGTTTTATAGTTAAACGCATCATCAAATTTTAATTCATTAAGAAGATAATTAATTTTGGAGTCATCGCCAGCGGAACCAATTACACGTAATCCTTTAATTTTTGCAATTTGCCCTACTACTTGTCCAACTGCACCTGATGCGGCCTAATAATTATTAAAAAAAATTTTCTAAAATAAGACAAAAAAAAATAATAAAAATAATAAAATATCACACTATTATATACAAAAATTTAATTTACTTACTGAAATAAAAATAGTTTCACCTTTTTTCGGTTTTCCAATATTATTGAGTCCAATATAAGCAGACAATCCAGGCATACCAAGTAATCCGAGAAAATAGCTTTTAGGAGCCGTAGATTTTGAAACTTCTTCCGCCAGAACTTTCATGCTTGACGTTTTTAAAGTATTTTCGGATAGATGTGTGTATTCTTCCCAGCCTAATTTAGTGATTTGTTTCTAGTCTTTCATCAACAATTTTTTTAAAAAATAATAATATAAAATTATATTACCTATAACTCCAATATAATAATCTCCAACTTGATATTCCACATTTTTAGATTTAACAACAGTGCCAATACCACGTCCATCTAAAACTTTACCAAGTTCGAACGATGGTGTATAGGATTTTATTTCAGGATTTCTCAGTTTACCACGCATGTATGGATCCAACGATAAATATTGATTTTTTACAAGAATATCCCCCTCGTGAAGTAGAAAATTTTCGATATCAATTTCTCTATTAACAAATTCTATGTGTTCACCTATCTTTGGATAACCGGATTCAAGAATTGCTTTATATATGACACAGTTGTTGGAAGGCATTCTTATTTACTTTATTTGTTAAGTAAGATGTAGTAGTTTTTTTCACAATTATGAATTATCAACGATTTATATTTT